AAATAAATAATGCATTTGTCAAGGGTTTCATTAAGTGAATATTTTCAGCAGGAAAGCAACTGGTTTTCACAGGTGGGGAAAACTTTTTGAACTGAACTTCTTCATCAGAAAAACTTTCCTCCACAAGGTCAAAGCAGGTGGGCAAAACCATCCTCTCAGCCGGACAATTTGCCCTATGCCAGGTCTTTAGTGAACCCCAATGAATGAGTTGCCAGTAATCAGATACCTGTGTTTGCGTGAAAATCCATTCGCAATAAAACAATGGCAAAAAAGTGTTGATCTCTCCCCAAAACCATGTTTTTGGGAGTTGAAACAACTTTTCGCCATACATTTCCTTCTAGCGACTTGCAATGTTTGCCCCTTGACGATCCCAGAATTCTTTGCACAAACACGGGTATCTGATTACTGGCAACTCATTCATTTGTTTAGGTAAAGCCTACATACAAGCCAAGTTTTCCACCAGGCCAGAGCTTATCCCGGTAAAATGAAGCAGCTAGGAATATTTCTACACCCCCCTGGATGGGATGCTGTAGTTCACCACAGGGTTACCTCCAACATTAAATTTGGTGGTACCCATTTGTACACCTGGGTGTTCAAGAACACAACACAATGTCCCTGGCCAGGGCTCAAACCCAGACCGCTTGATCTGCAGTCTAGCACACTAACCACGAGGCCACCATGCCTCCACTCCTGATTTGTTTGGGAATATATAATTCAAGACTAAAAGCCACGATTATAACAGAGATGATAGTAAAACACTATTTCATCATTAGTTATTACATTTAATAAGTTTGAGAGGACTGGGTGTAAAGGCGAATGCAAAAACAGCATTCGGAACATAACACTTGTGCACACAACAAGATAAATGATTATCGTATGGAGCCACCTTAATTAATGCAGTTAAGAAAGCTTTAAAGTCAATCATTAAACGGTCTTTTATGCCTTTTCTTATCCAATCCATCACATGCCGGCGGAGTCAGCTCGTAGTGCTGAGGAAATAAGGCTAGAGAACTGTCTACACTCTAGCACGATGCTGACTGGAGGTGAGCTCGTAGTGCCGTTTTAAGTTACGCTTTTAGGACGTACAAGCTTTTGGCCTCACCGACTTGTCCGATCCAGTGCAGAATTAACTGCTGGGGAGATAAGTTTGGCATTTGGTCACGCAATGGAAGTTCATCTGTCACACCGATTGCTGAGCAGTGTTCCCCCCCTTATGCTATATAACGTGTGTTTACTGCTTGTGATTGTCAGGGTATTTAAAGCATTACTCCCTAGGAACTGCAACATTAAATGGAATTAATATTTTGACCAATTTAACAACAGATTGCCATTTCCATGGCTGTTTGTTGCTGTTACTGACGATCTTGAGTTCTCTGTATGGGAACATCCCTGCTCTGCATGACACTCCTTCAGAGCTTGACATTGAGACTGTTGGGTTCGCCAATGCGACCGCATTTTTTCCACTGGCAATTAACTGTTCACACTTGGTCGCTAAGCTGGCCCCTAAGATATTTATCCTAAATACTTGGTTATAAGACAGAACCTGAATTACAGAAAATTTTTGGATCATGTTCAACAATATGCCCCCAGATTTGCTAATTACGGTCCTTTCACTCTTGTAAACAAAAGCGAAAAAGTCACGTATCATAATGTACCGAACAACAGTGAAACAAGAAGCACCTCAAAGTCTTATCTACAGTTTAAGCT